GGAATACGCCCAGAGTCACGGAACGCATTAAGTTCGTATCCCGAGGTACCACTGTACAAAGAAACAACCTCTTGGCGGAAGAGAATAGCACTGACTCAGCCTTGTTCTTGAACTTTCCTAAGAGAAAGGAACCAGATAAATTTCCAGGGGTATAAAGTTCAAATCTGCCATTGACCACCCATCCTCTTATCATTCTGGCGAACCTATTCTAGTAATTCTGGAGGGAAAATATTTTAGATAAATAAGAAAAAAGATATAAAATTATCTCTTTTTTCCTAAATCAAACCTTAACTTTTTTCTCTATTAACAGATGATACAGGATCTATCCACTTTGTACAGTTCTCTGTAATTGCGTTTCTGATGTTGTCTTCTAGATTTATTTGTTGGCAACTTCTCTGACTAATGTGCAAGCATTAGAAAAATGGTATACAAATCTGTAAACTGAATGATGTTGTAAAATTGAGCTTATTTTTAAATTAATCCTTCTTTTCCAGGCAGTCTTAGCTGGTGATTTCATCCTTTCTGCAGCATCTTTAGTTTTAGCACGTATTGGGAACACAACTGTTATTTCTGTAATAACGCAAGTGATTGAAGATCTGGTGCGTGGTAAGGCTTTTTAGCAATCTACCTAGAAGTAACTGAGTTTCCATTTCCTTGGCAATGAGTTTGTAACACTGTTGATCTTTTTACCTTTTACAGGCGAATTTCTCCAGCTAGGTTCCAAAGAAAATGAAAATGAGAGATTTGCTCACTACCTAGAAAAAACTTTTAAGAAGACTGCAAGTCTTATAGCACACGCCTGTAAAGCAGTATGTACGTTCCATCTTTCCTGTTAATCTATCTTGATGTGTGGGGGACAGAGAGACTAGGGATTTGAAAGCTGGACCCTTTTTTTCAGCTAGCTTATGAATCTAAAAGGCCTATATTTTATTTGCTGGTAGTTTTTCCAGATTGAGATGCTAAAAAATTGTATACCCTTCTGATGTGTGCTAGTCTCAAAGATGTGAGACCAGCCATAACTTTGTGACTTTCAGTTATTTTCACAACGTAAGGAAAAACTAAGGGAGATATGCAAAAAGTTAAACTATAATTTGTTGAATGCACTGCAGTTGGCTAAGTTTATACTATACTAGGGGTACTGTATCTGAAGGTACAAACATCCGTATAGTTACTAGATGGCGGAATTAGAGGCTTCTATATCTCTTTATTGCCATGTATATAGATATGTATACTCTTCTGTTTATTACTGTCTTTTTTGTTCTTTATAATGTAAGCTACCCAGAGTTGCTCTGGAGTTAGGCACTCTTATCCAGTTTTATGCAATCTATTTTTGCAATCCAGATATGCTAGGCCAATATTACATACTCATCCATAAGCCATGGCTTGCAGGTCATAATGGCAGGATACAAACAACATAGTGTGATAAAAACAAACCACATTATGGCTTGGTGGGCTGTATGAACCAGGACTGTAAATGACTTTATGCCATTTTGCAACCCTGGAAGCTTCCAAAAAGGAGTAACCCTGGGTGCTATATATTGCAGAATATAAGGCTCCATTTCCTGCTATTTAGAAAGAATGCCTAACTGAATCCTTCCAGTAATTTATTGCCAGCATTTTGGCAGTTCTGTTTCATTGCTGTTGACCAGTATGTTACTTGCAGTTATTCCAGTATGTTTTATTAAATCAAGGATACTCAATTTTTTAACATGTTGAGTGTTTTTTGTGGGCATGTGGAAAAAAACAGTACTATGGGAATACTCCCCTTCCCAAAATAGCTGCAGCGATAGCTCTGGCTCATTTTCCAGAGAGCAAATCAATGAAGCTAAAAGAAAAGTAAGCAAGTTACCCAGTACACTAACTGTAATGAAAAGGTGGGACCTGAATTCCAAACACAAAACAATTATTTTGAACTTAGTTTTCTGCTTCATCAGTTTCAGAGAAGACAGATAATTAAACTTATGGAAATAACTTGACTGAGTAAATAAGAATTGGCTTTACAGTTGTGGGGCTGCCAGAGTAATACCTGGCATTTTGGTTAATGGCATTCTTTGAAGTCTCTTTGATTCTTGTGCTTATTAATATCCATAAGACGCTAGCGGGAAAGTAATTTGCAAATTTGCCCTTGCCCTGCGTTATTTCAGGGAGGTAGCAGAAATACTAAACTAAGCTAATAACGCCTGCCTCTCTCTTGTTGGTGCACTGTTTGCACATCTAAATAATGGAAGATAACCAAAGATTTCTGTTCTTTTTTCCTTTTCAGGTTTCTATCCTAGGCTGTCCTGATCCAAAGGTTCATGAGATTGCATATCAGTACGGGAAAAACATTGGGATAGCATTTCAGGTAATACATCAGAATGCTGGCTTAAAAAAACAGATTTCACCAATAAAATGAAATGCTAAAAAAAAAAGCGGTTTTGGAATATATATACAAGTATGATTTAACTAGATTCTTGCAAGGATATCTCATGAGCTTTGTATTGTGTGTTCTTTGCTTATTGTAGCTGATAGATGATGTACTGGATTTTACATCATGTACTGAACAGCTAGGAAAGCCAGCAGCAGCAGACCTTAAACTTGGAATAGCCACTGGACCTGTCTTATTTGCTTGCCAGCAGGTATGAACAAAAAAATCTCTGCTGTCTTCCCAAGGCGCTGTATTTCTAGTTGAATTTTATCCATGCTAACATTTAAAAGTGTTGTGTACACATGCTTTGAAAAAACAAAAAAAGGAAGGTACTTGATGAAAGGCGCCTTCCAGAGATACTTTTCTAATCAGAAGCAATAGCTATTAAAATAATACTAATCCTTAAATTGGTTTCTTATTATCCTAACTTGAATTACTAACACAAGGCAGGGTTCAGTTTAGTTACTGTGAACCATTAAAGTTAATGAGTAGGAGAAGCCTGTCTGTATTGAAAGAATAGCTTGAAGGTGCCCAATGTTTTACAAAGTTAGAAGTTGGGTTTATCCTTCATGTTAATCTGTGGTTTATCTATGCCTTGTTAAACAAACTATATTGGCTGGGTTCATATAACACACTAAACCAAAATCAGTCAAACCCCAGGATGTGAAGTCAATTTGACTTGTCCTTGCCTTGCTAAATCATTCACTCCTATTAACAGCATCTCACATGAAAACTCACAAACTAATATAAAACCGATGGCCATTTCCTTTCTGTTGTGCCCAGTACCTGGTTGAATTCAAGGGACTGCAAAGATTTGAATAGTTGTTGACTGTATACAATAGGGATGGATCCTAAAGCTTGCAAATCCTGGCCAGATTATATTGTGCCAGAAGAAAGAAGATTCTGCTCTTCAATATTATCCGATCCTTGGGCCAATCAGTATTTCTCATAGACACACACACAAACTCATATAGAATCTATCATTGTATTTAGTGTTTGAAGTGACGATTTCTTTCCTTAATATATTATGATCCATTCTGAGTCCTTGAAATGAACTAAAATGAAATAGACATTTTGACCTCATCAACTCAGTTTAACTTGGTTTGCCTGCAAATTAAGAACACTGTCAGATAGTATTATCTCTTGAAGCATTGTTAAGCCGCCTACATTTGAGAGTCCTGAATGTGCTGAGAGGTTACTTCAGGGAGGTTGCTTCTGATAGAATTCTGTATTGTGAGAAAGCAAGCATCAAACAGGCTAGGAAAAGACACATATAGAGCCAGGCATGGACTTGGATTGCATCAGTATGCTAAGGACTGTCTAGGTTGGGGCAATAATACTTCTCCCTGTTCTAGTTCCCAGAGATTAATGCCATGATAATGAGGCGATTCAGTTTCCCAGGTGATGTCCAACGTACCCAGGAATTTGTATTACAGGTAATACAAAACTTTCATTAAAAGCAGCAGCTGCTCCTAAAGAATGACATTTGGTACACTCTTATGATTTCACTCTAACTTGCAGACCAAACATTAATTGATATTGATTCAAGTACAGCTAGTCCTCACTTAACAACCACAATTGGGACCGGCAACTCCATCGCTAAGCGAGACATCACATGACCACAATGGACTTAAGACCTCACTTCCACTGTGGTCATTAAGTGAATCACCTGCAGTCATTAAGTGAGACATGTGACTGTCACTTGCAATTTTACTGCCAGCTTCTCCACTGACTCTACTTGTCGGAAGCTGGCTGTGAAGCACACAAATGGCAATCATGACCACAGGACACTGTGATGGCCGTAAATACCCTCCAGTTGCGAAGCGTCTGAATGTCTATCACATGACCGCGGGGACGCTGCAACAGTCATAAGTGCAAGGACCAGTTGTAAAGTTACTTTTCCAGTACCGTCACAACTTTGAAAGGTCGCTAAACAGGGCAGTCGTTAAGCAAGGACTACCTGTAAATGTTTTTAATATAGTTAGGAAAAACACACCATACTGGCATTGACATCCTGTATGTTTGGTTCTGTTATTCTAAGATTAAAGTTACAGCATCTGTAGTAAGTCCATGTTCATGTTGCAACAATTAATTATACATTAGCACAAACAGATTAAATAATTTAATAGGATCATGTTATTTTGCAAGCAAATGTATTTGTGAGTTCCTGTATAGAACTCTTCAAGAATCGGAATGTTCATGGACAGCTGATGTGATGTAGTGATTAAGGATTGGCCTAGGATATAGGAGGGCCAGGTCCAAGTCCACCTTCAGCCATTAAAGTTCATGGGGTGACTATGGGCGAGTCATTTTCTCTTAGCCCAGTCTTGTTCAAAGGATTGTTATATGGGAATAAAGTGAAGGGAGATATATATTTACCTCCCATATAAGTTGCCTTTAGCTCTTGGAGGGATATGCATCTAACACAGTGTTTTTCAAACTTGGCAACTTTAAGATATGTGGTCGAGAATTCCCCAGCTGCCCACCCATGTTGGGTGTTGTTTAAGGGTCAGGGAACATTTTCATAACTCATGGCATCCAGACTGTATTACAAAGAGCGTGGAGATAGGGAACATTTCAAAGTAGTTTAAGTCTGTTTTTACCTTGAAGCTGTATGGAACAGGGCTATAAAATGCAGTTCTAAAAATGAGTCAGCTAAAGTCTCACAAAACCAATTGCAAAATGGAAAAGTAGCAGCTTTGTATGGTTCACTAACTCCTCTAATATTTTGGTCTATATTTAGAGCGGTGGCATACAGCAGACAACCTACCTCGCCCAACGTTATTGCCATGAAGCAGTGAAGGAGATTGGCAAGCTTAGACCATCTCCAGAAAGAGATGCCCTTATGCAGCTGGCAGAAATTGTCTTGTCGCGAGACAAGTGATCCTCTTCTTCCTCCTGGTGATTTTGGCAGCTATTTTACCAGACTGTGCCTAAACTGTTTCAGAACATCTTGGCTTGCTTCTGGTGGCATTTCCATTTTTAAAAAAGTTATCCTAGTTAAGTAACTAGGCTTATGAAATGCTTTTATTGAAGGAAGCCTTACACAACAGTGAAACACAATCAGTCTGTTAAATTGGTAGCAGCATTTGGTACCTGTGTTTTCAATGAAGAGGTTTCTGGTTTTGTGTGGACATTTGTTTACACTGTTCACTATTAACGCTGAAGGCCACAAACAATAAAATGCAATCAGTGTATTAAATTATTTCTGCAATTCCTCGTATGTGCTGGGACTATAACCAACTCCTTGAATGATTGAATTGCCTGTTAGAATTTCAGAGCACCCAGAAAATTAAAGAATGGTTTATTATAAAAGACTGTACATACTTGTTATAATTAAAACAGGTTATATACAAATCAAGAAGTGTTCCAATTTATAAAGGGAATACAAATAGGTTTCATGGGTTGCTGTTTGATGTCAGAAATAACATGTTAACAATCAGGAAAAGGCAAATAAAGCAATTAATTAGGTTCATTAAGGAACAAGGCGGCAAGGGAACCTTCAATATTTAATGTCATGCTAGAAAATAATATTACTGCTCTTGTATCCAGTACACTTGCTTTTTCATCATGTAATACCCATTAGGACAGTGCTTAAGTCCAAATAAATCTTTACTACATAAAGCAACAAATCCCTTACTAATATTCATAGTTTATGAATATTTATAGTCTTAACTTGTGTATAGTCCAAAAGCAGAAGCATCACTTGACCTTGTGCTCAAACTGGAGGTATTCTAGTGCACACTAAAAGCCAAATGGGCTATATGACAACCTATGCCTTTTTCTACATAAGCTGCTGCTTGCTCTCTCTAGTGGGATGCATGTCTAGAAACAGCATTGCTATGGAAGTACATCCCTGCTCTTAGGCCCGTATGCTCTGTATTCCTAGATGTTCTCTGCAGCAACCTACTTAAATACAGTGATGTGGACAAATCAGTAGAAAATCCCCTCAATGATGAAATTTTACTTTCAGCAGGACAAGAGACCTTTTAAATGGGGGCAGTAATTGGAACAGTTGCTTGAGATAGTTTGTTCACCCACCCTCTGCACATTGCAGAAAATTATTCATCTAATTTTGCAATGAATCACTAAAGCTCCTCTCTTAAGGCAGTTCTACTACAGCAAAAGGCTGCTTGGTACATGAAAAGTACCACTGCATTTACCACTGCAGCTGAAATACAAAGGTGATTAAATGTTTACTTCACCCATCTTATGGTACATCAATATTATAACTTGGACAGCCCTGGCCACACTCTGACAGGCAAGAAGAGAAACAGATTTCTGCTGAAAACTTGCTCCCAGATCACTCCAGTCTGATAAGAGACCAGAAAGAGAAAGCGAGCAGGCATTTTAGTGAGCTAGGATGACTTTGTTTTATACATTCTTCCATAAGCCTTTTATTGCTGTGCTTTCTGTTTCCAATAGTAGCTAATCAAAGTCATGGGTAGCAGTCTCCATAAGTCCGCATTCCATTTACTAATGAATAAACCAAATAATAGTGTAATCTGAATATATGGTAAGCCTGCAGAAGTGTAGTTTTCCCTTTGTTGTGGTGTCAAGACTTTGGACTTGCAATTAAAAAGGTCCCTGTTGATAAGGGGGAAATTTGGTAAGTCAACATGCTTCAATATTGCTTTGCAAGGCAAGGCAAGCCAACAAAAGTAATGGACAAGACCTTTGGTTCACTTATGTATTTATGAATGGAAAAGTCAATGCAATTTTACTCATTAAAAACTCAGGTACAAATTACATACACATCATAAGACCACCCATCTTTGATTCACATGGACATCTTCGATAGAGACTCAAATGACTCATTGGAATAGACTTTTAGTGAAATTACTCCAGTAAAAGATTACAACGAATTGGAAGCATCTTGGATTTTGAGAAAAAAAGTGTAATTCAATACATAAGTTTTTATGCATGCTTTTAAACAAATACTATACTTTGAGGATGAGCAATAGTCTAAACAAAGGTAAAATGACCAGCATTATTGAATTTTTCAACCAGATTTGATGTTAGTCTAACAGTTGTTAGTTTATCACATTGTTGCACTGAGAAAAGAAAACAATGGCACGATTTGAATCATGAGTCATTAAATAGTATATACCCTACTTCCCCAGAATATTTAGGCTGGTCGTAAAAAACAACGCATAAGTAAATAAGCATAATCAGTAATAAACAGTTTAGTTATTTGCAAAACAGAATAGCTTTTTCTTGGAATGTTCTGTTTCTCCTCTGGAATGGGCCAAACCAACCATTTCTTGAATGTATGTTTCTGGAAGTATATCTTCTGGAATGAGAAATGGTTTGTAGAACTCTTGTTTTAGAACCAGATGGTGTCTGGAACACCATGAGTCACTTCCTGATCCAGAAGAAAGGCTTCTGGAAACACAAATGTCACCCAGAATGTTCAGACTGGGCCATTCTGGGAAAAAAACAGAATTTCTGAGAACAAGCCATTCCGTTCTGCACACCTCTAAAACATTTGTTCATTTTACAAACTCCAGAGACAGATGCTTACAGATGAACATTCAATCATGCCATTTAAATAGTATGGCCTGGAAAGGATGTGCACATTTTAAAGAGCATTAAGACAAGTGTTAATTTACCCTTTGTAGATCATTATGGCATGACTGAAGGCAAGGCCTGACCTCAAGCAAGAATTAATCTGCATAGTGCATGATTGATTCAACATAATTTCCAGGAAACAGGCCAGTCACTCTGTTGCATACACCTTCATACCAACCGTCATCATTCTTCTTTATCACATAAATGATTGCACCCTCCATGAATGACAGCTCATCATCCTTGTCCTTTGTGTAGTCATATATGGCAACAACTAGGAAATTGGAAAGAAAGACGCCAATGAGTTTTGTCACAGGTTGTTCTAAAGCCATTTCTAGGGCTTTCTTGTTAATTCAGAATTTATCTTGCAAGCACAAATTAAGTGGATGTGAGACAGCTGCAGCCAGTATCAGACTGACTGGGCAGTTTAAATGTCTCCTACTGCATTCTAATAATAAATCACATGCTCTGCAGGCATGCTATCCCAAATCTAATCCCTAGCATTTCAAGTGAAATGATCCTCAAGAGCTAGCTGGATCAAACATCCAAGGTCTTATGGTGATTTCTGCATTCTGGATACTCCGTACTGAACGAAGTAAACTAAGTGGGTGAAAGGAAGTTTCATGATTCCCCAAATTTATCACTGTACTATGAAAATAAAGCCCAACTACCACCACCCACAACATTTGACATGCTATCAATTCAATTCTCTTTCCTTGTTGCAGATATACAGTCCCTCAAATGCTGGGGCAGGTGAACTTTACTTTGATTATTTACCTCAAACCACATACCACAACTGCTGTTCTGTCAAAGCTGCCTACAGCCCCAAAATGCAAGTGGGCAGCGTATAATTTCTTTTAAAAAATATTTGTTACAAGAACATAGCAGATGTATTGCTTCTATTACATGCCAATTCACATGTAGGATGCCTTAATTGTATAATATTATTTGGGACTCCAGAGATGAAGTAGCAAAAACAAGGTAATTCTAATTTGGGGGGCTCCTATTGCTAAATTTTCAGATGCAAAGTATGCTGAGAGTACTTGGGCTAACTGCACTAAGTTATGCATTTCTTAGATCATGGTTTAACAAGTCACAAAGTCTGGATTCACTCATCATATTAAACAAGCCTTCCCAACCAGGCACACTCTTTATGTATTGGAGCTGCAACTCCCAGACCCGTCCAGGCAGAGGAATTTTGAGAATTGCAGTCCCAACGCATCTAGAGGACGCCATGTTGGGAAGGCTATGCTGAACTGAAAATGAACCATTTTATTACTTAATATAATGTACACAGCAGCTAGCAACAGAGGAACATACAAACTATCAATGCAGACCTTTGATATTCCTATCTGTGGATACATTTCTTGTTCTATCGCAGCACCACTGCTGCTAGAGAGGGAGTTCCTCAGTCATAGGAAAAGCTTTATATTTAGTAGTGGAAATGGAGCTGAAAACCAAGGTCAGAATCCAATACAGGTTTATATTTCCAAGCTTTGTTTTCTAACTTGTGAAATATATGTTACTGAATTCAATTTTCTATCAATATTAATCAACATAGCCGATGATGCACTCCAACAACTAGAGGACCATAGATTGCTCGCTCCTGGTATAGTCTAATGTACAACCAAGATCTTAGTGTAACCCTTATAAACAATTCCATAGATCAGGTTTGTATTAATGTCCTAATCTGCAAATTTTGGGAGGAAGGAGTACTGAAGCTCTGAGAAAAGGGTTTTACTTAAAGTCATCCAGTTTGTGGTAACATCTGAATGGGGTACATTCGGCTTACACCTCCCTAAGCAAGTGGCAAAGGGAATGTTCCAGTTTAGCACAAATATATTCATCCTTTACCTTTCTCAATATAGTTTTTAGGTGCCCAGGCTGGATCTCCATCAGCATACGGATCATTGTACTGCACTACTGCAGCCTCCTCATCTTCATAATCCACTGGTGGTGGTGGTGGAGGTGGTGGAGAGTCATCAAACATAGGCATCTCATCTGGAGGTGGTGGTGGAGGTGGAGTTGGACTGTCAGCAACTAGTAATCAGTGAAAGAAGAATATCTAGTCAGAACTAGTTCAAATAGAAGTAAACCTGTGACCAGGAGTCCACACCTATTACAGAAACTAGTAGCATGCACTAACAGTATCATGCATAGATTAGAAATGAATGCTTTATATGTTAAAATGCTATGACATACAACTTTGCAAGTTACTGGCAGCCACAGAACTACAGATGCTAACTTCAAAGCAGATACTCCAAAGGCATAAGCTGATTACTAGCAGAAGTGAGATGTAGACCATCACTTTAAATGGTTCTCAAGACAGCATTGCTTCGTATTCAAGAGGCTGGTGTAGCTGTTGCTGAATGCTGTAAGCCAAATGTCTTATTTTGTAAGTTTACATTTGCCTTGGATGAACAAAGATCCAGATACAGAGGCACTGCAAAGAACATAACTTCTGATGCAATCAAAGTCTCTTTTTGATGCTGATGGGAGGAAGAAAGGCCTATTTTAATCTGCAAGAACATCTCTAACATTCTTGTCTTGCAGTACAGGACAGAAGAGTCATACTGCACAGTGCTGCTTACAGTATTCAGATAATTTCATCATAGCTTTTATTACCTAAATTCCTAACATGTCCCCACTTGCAGCATCCTCAATAACATATCCTGACATGCAGCATGTGATCAGGCATATTCAAAAGAGGCTACTTCACTAAAATCTCATCCACCAACTGTCCCACACACAAATCAGGACACGCAGCCATAAATCCCAGTGTAGAGAGACACTGCTGTAACTTTTACTTAAAAGAGCACAATTCAGCAAGAGTAAAGCATTTTTGAATACCACTCAATAGATGCAAATGATACCTACATTTAACATTTACACTAAGAAACAATATAACTGAAAAAAATGCATCACTTTGGCTGAATTATGTCCAAATGTTAATATAATCAGCGTTATCTTTCAAAATACTTAAGGTCATGGCATTTTTATGCTAATTATCAGCTTCATCACTTAAGCGGAAATGGAAGAGAAAAATAATGAAATGTGAGATTGAGGCACAATTGATCAGTGAAAGTTTAATAGTTCTAATCAGAACTTAGATATTGTTTGCAAAGCAAAGTGAGTTACGGATAGAGCTAAGTTAAAACACAGCACTAGCAAGATTCCTGTATATTGGAAGGAGTTTTATATAAACTATGATCTAGAACATTAAATCTGGGTCATCTGCTGTGGAAACCAGGTCATCCAGTGTTAGGAGCAGCAAACAGCTTTTGTGCATTGCTGCATTTGGGGCAAATCCAGGCTACACAAGCTTCACTGAAGTCCAATAAATGTCAAGATGGGACTTTATAACTAACTTGGGCCACTGATTTCAATCACACACCCAATAAGCAAACCCACTTCCTCCACTGCAATACTTTACTTTGCCCTAGATTAACAAAGGGCAGTCAGTTGATTTTTAGGATAGCATGGGAAGATTTTAAAGACATGCACATGAGATCACCACGGGAATGGATGTGAATGTGTTCCTTGTCTTGGGTGGGTATGGCTGAAAGGAAATCAGCTTTGTCTCAATGCAGTCCAAATCTCTCCTTCAACACTGTCATGGGTTATTTTTCTTAATCCCAATAAGGCATGGCAGACTCTGTCTCTCACACTTGCTCTCAGATTAAACTGGACAGCAATTTTCCAGCATTGATCTCTCTCTCATCTACCTCTTCAGAAGAAAATCTAACAACTGAGAGTTGTTTTTTTTAAAAAAAAAAACTATTGCTAAAAGCATCATCTCTTAAATGAGTTTGGTTTTAAAATTTAAACATATAAATAATGGCTCAGGCTAAGCAGCAGTGTTCTTCCAAAAGCCCATTATGCATATATGTGTATGTTCATTGTCACGTGGCTGGTTGGCAGTCACTTTTTGGGTCACTTTGAAGTCTGCAGATGTTGGATGGGCAATGCTATTACAAACAGTGAATTTGTTTCTCCACCCCTCCTTTCCCTTGTGGTTGTTTCTAAAATAATGTCTACATATCAGGAATATAAGACCCTTTCAGTTATTACCCTTTTTTGTTTAATGTCTATTGTGCAAGATTTGCCTTTTTATTGTAGTAAGACCTAAAATTATTGCTTTGGAGTATAGACCTCGATCGCTGGAAAGTCTCTCATTACCGTCTGTCAGGCATACTTGTTCATTTGCATGTATGAACATGCTTTGTCTCTTCCTTCTGTCTATTTTTTTTTTCTGGGAGGCACCATCCTGGGTCCTACTGCTGACCTGCTGCATCCCGTGCACTGCATCTCTTAAACTTCTTGCAAGAGAATGAGGCCTCATGATGGGAAGCCAGTGCACTCATGGTGCCTGCAGTAGGCACACAGGCTCAGCACCTGTCCAACATGATGCCCCTTAGAAAGGAACCCAGGAAGAACCACCCTTAGAAGAGAGAAGAGAGAAAAGGTGAGGCTAGGCAAGAGGACCTCAACTGTGGGCTGGTTGCCTTGGGTGGCAGTTATTTTTACATTCATTGAAACAATACAACTTCTTAAAGATTTATTGGAATGTTCTTATTATTTACTACTTTAATATTTCATATTTTGCAGAGGTAACTTGTTCAGCTATCATCAGAATCAGCCATGTCTTAGAGAATGCCCATAACTGTTCCTTACTAACACATTGTGTCTCCGTTTTCACATACAGCACTAAAGAAATGGGCCCATTCCATAATCCAAACCTGATACAAAATTGGACTTTGATAAGTGAACAGTATCATGTGTTTTCAACACTGTAATATGCCAATAGGCACAATACTGTGAGAGCCTCTCCTACCAAGGTCCACAGAAAGGCTTACTGCAACATAGCAGCTGTTCTGATACATTACAAAGAATGTATGTTCCTAGTGGACTGTATCCTTGATTTATTGGCCAAACCCAACTGCCCTGCACACAAAAGAAGAACAGTTCATGGACTGGATCCATTAGCAGTAGTACAGTAGCTTTAAGAGAAAATATTTCATTCCAGAATTCTTTAGCTTGATAGCAAAATGTAATGTTATAAAGGATCTAGCATTCAGGTCTTCTTTCAACTAACTTTTTTTTCCCCCACAAAGGAGCTCCTCAGTCCTGAAGGCTTTTCATAGGCACAATAATATTATGTATTTCAGGTGTTTAAGATATTTGAATCTCATGTTACCCTACTGGAGAAACTCAAAACATGATTATATTTTCTCCTGCAACCAAACAAACTTGCTGCAAATAACTGGGAGACTTTTGGAGAAAAAAGTGGAATTTGGATGGTGAAAAGCACAATGAAGAACCACAGGAAGAAGTCCCACTGAGCAAACTCATCCATTAGCGTAGCACCAAATATAGCTTAGAATAAACTGAGGTACCCTTGCATTTAATCTAAATCTTAAGTGTCCAATTATCAATTATTTCCACTTATTCTATTTATTCTTTGCTTTAAAGGGCTAAAGAAACAAATGCAAAACTAATTGCTTGGATTTATCTGGAATATGAAATGCATAGCCTAACCTTCTGTGCTTCGATAACATAACTGAACACAATTCTTTTGTTACAATTACCTGTACCTAGAACTTTAATCCAATATGTGATCGCAGGACTGGCAAAACTGGGGCAAGAATTGCTCAAGATGTATGAAACATCAATCCTTGCCACCACTACCACCGCCAAGAAAATTAGTACAGAACTATCTCCACTACCACGTTTCCAACCAGTCTTTTATTATTTTCCAGAAAATAAGATTTGAATACTATATAATTAGGATGCCGTAAAAGCAGGAAATGCTAAAGCAGGATTGACTTCAGACAATCTTAAAACAAGGGCATTCACATGCTCTTAAGGAGACAACAGCAACTGAAAGCTCTGGATTAGATCCAGTTTCCGGAAAATGTGTACCTTTCAGGTCCCATAGAAACAAAAGGATTGATGATAAAAGTAATACTTCTGTCAATAGAACTTACTGACATTGAAAAGGTGGAAGGAATGCTGGCTTACTATCCCTACCTCATCCTTCAGAAGTGTTTCACCACATCTGATGAAGGCACTGTTCAACTGTGCACTTTGTAAAAAAAAAAAAAATGTGCATCTCCTTAAATTGGTCCTGAATGCCCTCACATTTAATGAATGAGCCCCAAAATCCTACCATTGCAAGCAGGAGAAAAAAATCTCCCTATTCATATTTTCAATAAGATGCCTGATTTTATATAGTTCTAGCGGGTCTCCTCTTAACTGTTTTTGCTCCAAGGGAAAATCACCAAGAAACTGTAGACTTTCTTTGTACAGGTGCTGCTCTAATTCTCTTAAAGATTTTGGCTGCCTTTTTCCAATTCTGCAAGATAAAACATATATGCACAGAGACAATCTGTAAGCAAGAAAGCAAGGCCTAATTTAAATGTGATACAGGACACTAAAGAAGAAACCAGCATTATTCTCTGCAGCAGTTAACCTTGATTCTGATCCTTCGCACATTAATCCAAAGTACAGGGGCAGAGGTTTAGTCCCAGGGTCATACACAATCCCCCAAAGTTTAGTATGGCCCCTGCGATCCCTCCAGAAATTGCTGCCAAATTGTAATTTTGAATTTGACATAAGGGAACGGTTAATATATATTGGGAATGTATAATTAAGGCTGTGTAATACTTTGGTTTCAAAAAGGTAAGGATGCTTCAGACCATGGAGGAGCACTCACGTAGCAACTGCCTGCAACTCTTTAAAGCAGCTGTGTTTTTTCCTGGATCATGCAGCTGCCCTCTGTAGCCCTCTTCTATCAGCCCTATTTAATTTTGACATCAGTTACACTTAATATGATTTTAAGATGTCATTTCTGCTTTGGAGCCACTCTTTTATTATCATTTTCCACCAGATTTGAAGTGCAGCCATTTAAAAACCAGCTGCTCTCCTCAGCCAAAGAAATGATAACTTGTTTTTGCATTTTCACGGATGTCCTGAATTGTCTGCCACAATTTTTACACAGAAAAGTCAGATAAAAATCAATTAAATATTATTGGAAGTGAGCTTTCCTGGGCCATAGAATCCTCCTGTGTTAGTGCTTTACTAGATAAAGTGTCCAATTTGATATATGCTGTCAGCCATGTGATACCTTGTAGGGAGATATTTTTCTGACATACCTAGTATCCTGCTTAAACTGACCCTAAAATGGTTTAAAAGCAAAAAGCTGGCTATATAAATGCTTCTATCTCCTCAAATTAAAACTTTTAAAAAATCCATGCACTTGTATCTGTGAAATTTTGTATCCATATTATTGAATGTCCTAAAGTTCTGTGGGGCGCATGCATAGCCATTTTTTTTTTTTAAAGTATGTGTGCGTCAAACTATTATTTATATCTCCCAAATCAACAGTTTGGGGATTTGACAAAAGGAGAGCTGAGAGGAGGAGGTATGTGTTTTCTTTTTCTAATTTCCCACCAAATCACCAGGTTTTATTCTGAATGCTTAAACAAACAAACAAGCAAAATCACAGGGCTAAAAATGTTATCAGTAATAATAACTGGAGCATAAGAAAATGTACCCCTCGGTTCCACGTTGGTGCTGAAATGCAAGATGGAATTAGCATCTTAAGTAGGAAAAAAAATGAACCAAACTTTCAAAGCAGTAAAACCAAGGAGAAGAATCTGACTGGCCAGCCATGCATGCTATAGGAGAGAGAAAGAGAGAGAGAGAGAAAGAGAGAGAAAGAAAGAAAGAAAGAATTGGCTCTACTCTTTGGAGAAGCTAAGCTGCCAACTTACTGTTTTCTTGCACCCTGGCCACGAAGCCTGTGAGAGGTATCTGTGGAGTCAACTGAGGCATAGGGGGAGGGGGTGGAGCAATAGAAACTGGAAGTAACACACACCATAAACAGGGAGTAAACATAGATACAGGAAAAGGAAAATAAAAACAAAAAGTAGCTGTCAGTAACACTGGACCACAAAAAAGCTACGCAATGAACAGAAACACACAACAGGACCTCCTTCAAAATCGGGTACCCTGACAATACAACTTCTGCTGAACTCTGTTCTTAGTCAGCTGGCAATTAAAAAGCAAAACAAAACATATGGTAGATGATACGTGATCTGCTCTTCCTTTTTCAGACGTTTCACCTGGCCATTTAAAAATACTCGTCATGTGCTTGAAACAGACATCCTGCCATCTTTACCACAAAATCTTGCAAGGAATGGCCAAGTGTGAGGGAAATTGTGTGAGTGTTTGTGTGTTTTTCCTTAGCAAGCACTTGAGAGCATGTTTTATTTAAAGGAAAGTGCCATAAAAAAGGCAAAAAAGTAACAAGGGCCCTTTGCAATGAGGGTGAAAGCTACCCCCCAAAAAAAAAAAAAAAATCCAGAAAAAGGCAAAGCAACAGAGCTTATAGATTGCCCTGCTCTTTAGCATGAAATTGAATTTACATGCCTTATTATTTTCATATTTTAAGCAATTCTACACCTTCTGGAGGATTTCAGGAGAGTTTTTTAGGAGAGCTTTAAGGACTATAATTCCATAACTGAAAATAAAAACTGATCCACAGAAAACAGGTATATTCATTACAAAAATTGGCATGGTTTCTTTTCAAGAGGCAAACCCAAGCATTTCATAGGAATTATTCATAACAAGCTTTTATATTATTGCATTGTGTTAGCCTTAAGATGATATACCAGTTGAAGCTGCACTTTTAAATGCTTCCAGCATCTAATGCTCAGCTACCAAGGATTCTACATAAATTGTACGCTCATATCCAATTACCTAAGGCATTTCCCAGTGATTGACAGGGCAAACCAACCTCACTATGAATCTTGAACCCAGAGGTAAAGACCAAAGGCCCACAGTTAAATACATAATGGCATGTTAGATAAGCCCCTCATAATGAATCTGTGTTCAGATTTATGAGCAGGGGAACATTTCTAATGGAACTGGGAAATAATAGCAATGTTTTAGAATGGTTTGTGTGAATATCAACAAGATGCAGAAGATGGGAATGCTGCTTATGAATGTGTGTACATGCTTAATTCCCCAATGTGAACCACAGGATACGCACAGAAACACAAGCCTTTTCACACTGATCCAAAGTATGTAGAACAGGTGCCAGATGGAGGAAAAAAATGTATCTCATTAGCAAGTCTCTGATCTCCTCAAACTCAATTCTGTACATCCACCTCTGACTGACACGTTCTGTTTTCAGATGTATCAATGTTTCAGTTTTCATTATGAAGTGACCACTGGGTACACTTTCACAAGTAATATTGTAACATCAAGAAATTGGCCTCAGAAACAATTATAGCAGGATCTCAGAGGGATCCAGAAACTTTGGAAATACAAATGTCTTTATTCTTTTCTTTTTTTACCTAATTCAAGTTTCTGTGTTCAGCAAAGTAATAGGATTTGAACTGCTCATTTGAAACAGGCTGTGGATTTCAAAATGTGGATTAATTGTAAATACTGCCATAATTCAGTATTTATATTTACAGTTAAATATTAACACTGAGCTCATTTCATAATAATCCAGCCTCATGTGCCAAGTAAGAGACATAACACAATGGCCAGTTTCTCAAAGCTCTTGATGCCAAGGTTTACTTGCTCTTGTACTCCTCCTTTTCTTTCTCCCCTACAAAATCTATTTGCTGTCCAGGAAAAGGAAGTCCAATGGGAAACCTGGAATTTATCTTGTCAAATCTAGGGCATTAAATCATAAATTTAAGAGAAGGGTGAAATATCTACTCAAGTTAAAATTAGTGACTACAGAGTATTTTTTTTAATGTGGCAGTCATTAATATTTTTAGGGTTTGTATCTGTATTAGAACAACACTATGATTATAAACAAACATAAAATTACATTAAAAATGGTCAAGTAAGGTCTTTCATAAGGATCCTTTAATCTTACTAGCAAACCACCTGAAAGTGAAAGAGCCATTTTTATTTATTTGTAACTGTACCTATCTTTGGCAAGCAGATAATATTATCAACTTATTTTGAAACTGTAGACTGAATTGAACAGTATCTCTGAGTGTTCTGTTATCACATGAAGGGAATTTGCTCATGTGTTCATCTCATTCTTGAAATCTCTCCCAATCAGTGTTTCAGATATGTAGACTTGAACTCTCAAAATTCTCAGCAATGGCCATGCTAACTGGGGAACTTGGGGAGTTGGAATCCAAACATCTGGAATCCAAACATCTGACTAAGTTGGGGAAGGCTATTCTCTATCTATATGTAAAAATCACACCCCAATACAGTTAAATCCAATACACAAAACTGCAGTTCCACTTTCTCAACAAAATATGGTGGTCAGTAAGCTGTGCAAAGCATTCTGAGGCAAGTTTTACAAAATAACCAAAGAAACCCCTTGAATGCTCTGCACAACCCTTGTAATCAGCTCCATGATTCCAGCTTATGTATGCTGAATTGTATAGGTTTATGGCATATTCAAATGCAGCCTCATTATACAGACATGCGGAACACTAAGTGTGGCGTTCCAACAAAAATATAGTTTAGGCAGGCAGGGGAATCTTTCTGATCTGGCTCACAAAACCAGCTGTCAGTTACAGTGACATCATAGCCGTTATAGTTTAAAAAAAAATATTAAGGTAAAAATGACTAGGCTTTCAGGCAACACCTTTAACAGTTTGAATAATTATCCAGGAGAGGAACAAAGGTAATATTTACACCAGTGTTGTCCAAACTTGGCCACTTTAAGAAGAGTGGACTTCAACTCCCAGAATTCCCCA